TCGTTTCATTTTTCATGTTTTGTTTCATTTCTATTCCTCCCTTCATAATCATGTCTCCTTTGATGTTGTTCCTCTCTTCTTCTGTTGTTTTTCCTGAGTATTAGATTTGTATTATTAAATTAAAAAAATCATAAACTCTTTAAAAAAATAATTCTAAATTTGCGCAGGATTTGTTTTAACATATCACTTTTTATTAAGTTTAAATCCTATATTAGATGATTTAGACAATTTATTCTTTATTAATTTTATTTTTGAGCAGGAATTTGCTATAATTAATCACTTGCTACTATGTTCTGAATACTAATTGCAGATAATTATGATGGTGTCATATTTCCCTCAATACTATGCAGGGTTTAGCAAAATATGCCGAATGGAGTGCCAATTTCATGGAAAATGATGCAAAAGCAAAGCTTAAGGCTGCTGACCTTCAGGCCAAGAAGGATAGGCTGAGAATGTGGACGAACTATGTACCTCCTGCTTCAAATTCGAAGGCAATCCATGATCAGAATTTCACAGGAACAGTGAGTGCTAGGTTTGGGTACAAGTGTTAGCATTGGTGCTTTACTAACGGCATTTCTCTTGCCATCTTGTCTTACCTAGTTCTGTTTGTCTGTCCATATTAGGTTGTAGAAGTTGTGAGTGGAGATTGTATAATTGTTGCTGATGATGCTGCCCCCTATGGGAGTCCGCTTGCAGAGCGTAGAGTTAATCTTTCGAGCATCAGGTGTCCTAAACTGGGAAATCCTCGACGAAATGAGACGCCAGCAGCCTTTGCTCGTGAAGCTAAGGAGCTTCTGCGGTCGCGTTTTATTGGCCGCCAAGTATTATCCTGACTTTTTCTAATTTCAGATAGAAAGTCTTGACTCTGCATGCATCAGTTGATTAATATATCTATTCTTTTCAGGTGAAAGTGTCTATGGAATATTCTAGAAAAGTTGGTGATGGATTGAATCAAGCAGCTGAATCTGGTCCAGCTGACTCTAGAGTCATGGATTTCGGATCGGTCTTCCTTGTGTCTCCGTCAAAGGAGGGTGATGATACCACTCCAACCGCACCTTCCGGTAGCCAAACCATGGGAGTCAATGCTGCCGAACTAGTCCTTTCACGTGGATATGGAGATATCATCTACCACAGAGACTTTGAGGAAAGGTCAAACTATTATGATGCTTTATTGGCAGCTGAGTCACGTGCCAGTAAGGCAAAGAAAGGGATTCATTTATATAAAGAGAGAGACAAAGACGGCAAGTTAATGAGGGAACCAAAACCTACAGTCGTGCATATAACAGATCTGACAACGGTAGGAACTATAACTTTTCTCTAGGAGAATTAATTAGTTTTTTGTATGCATTATATAAACCTTTTATTTTACTCAGGCTTCAGCAAAGAAAGCGAGAGATTTCTTGCCATTTCTACAAAAAAGTAGAAGGCTTCCCGCTATGGTTGAATATGTCCTTAGTGGGCATCGTTTTAAACTGCTTATTCCCAAGGAAACTTGCAGCATTGCTTTCGCATTCTCTGGTGTCAGGTGCCCAGGTCGAGATGAGCCCTTTTCAGATGAAGCTATTGCATTAATGAGAAGGAAGATAATGCAGCGGGAAGTAGAGGTGCTAATGCTGCATATCAGATGAAGCTATTGCATTAATGAGAAGGAAGATAATGCAGCGGGAAGTAGAGGTGCTAATGCTGCATCTGTTAGTTTGTTTTCACTTAATCTCTGCACTGTATAAAAACATTCTAAATTCTATTGCACAGATTGAAGTTGAAACAGTTGATAGAGCTGGCACTTTCCTGGGTTCTCTATGGGAGTCTAAGACAAATATGGCTGTGGCTCTTCTCCAAGCTGGATTGGCAAAGCTTCAAAATTCCTTCGCTTCAGACAGGATCCCAGATGCCCACATTCTTGCACGGGCTGAACAATCGGCAAAACAGCAAAGACTGAAGGTAATCTATCAGTAAATATTCTCCAAATCTTCATTTATCCTGCTTTGTTTTCTGCTAATATACAGTCTTTTCTGCTTGGAGGTGTGGGAGAACTATGTTGAAGGACAGGAAGTTGCTAATGGATCTTCCACCAATTCAAAACAGAAGGAAGTGCTCAAGGTGGTTGGTAAAGAGTTTAAATGGTTTATTTTATTGTTCACGGGTAATTGGCAAGTAATTATTGTTATGTAACTCCAGGTTCTAGTCACCGAAGTCTTAGGTGGTGGCAAGTTCTATATTCAAACTGTTGGTGATCAGAGTGTTGCTGTGATCCAAAAGCAGCTTGCTTCATTGAGTCTTCAGGAAGCTCCTGTATTTGGAACTTTTAATCCTGTAAAGGGTGACATTGTCCTTGCTCAGTTCAGTATAGATAATTCCTGGAATAGAGCCATGGTAAGACAATAGTACAAATCAAGTTATAACTTGATAGCTTTTCTAAACTGCTTTCAGCTAGGTATTTCAGAAGCAGTTGGTGCTTTTTCTGAATGAATACATTTAATGTTCTGCTGATAATTAATAGTTACAATGATCTGAAAACGTTATTGTACAGACTATTGACCACAAGTTAGTTCTTAAGAATACTGTATTGGTTTAGTATAGACTTCAAATTTTAGGATGACAAATTAGTTTTGTTGGGTTTTTTGGTTGGTAACTAAATAATATAGCATTCAATTGGTTTAATAATTAATATAACATTCACTTGCCTCCTGGCTGCTTTTTCTGGCACTGCATTTTGATTAAAGAGAGGGGAATGACTTTAGGTGGGTTAAAGTTATAAGAATGAGTCTGGTCATGTTCTAGTCAAGACAGATCCTTGCACGTTTAACATCAATTATCATGGTGCTGATAGATTGACTTGAACTCAAACCTGACAAGCATGCATGCAGCCTTTTAGTTAAGTTGGTATTTGGCATTCTTTGTTTTGAACCTGCCAATATACTTCTCTGGCTGCTAGGGCAACCTCGTTCGAATACACTTCCGAGATTCTTCTAGTCGCCCATCAAATTGGAAAGACATTCATAATCAGCCTTTTTTGTATTTCTTGGCCATTTAAATTGTTAGTGCATTCATGATATCTTTGTATTTCGACCATAAGCATTCTCCATCTATTCAGGAATGCTTATGCTCACGGGATATCTTTGAGCTGCATGTCAATTTGTTGCATTGTATTTAGATTTCTAGTTACTTATTACCTTATTTGGTTCTATTAGCAGATCCATGTTTAACTTGGGATTATCTCTGTGTTTGTGGTCAATAGATTGTCAATGGACCACGGGGTCCAGCCGAGTCACCAGAGGACAAGTATGAAGTCTTCTATATTGATTATGGAAATCAAGAGACAGTCACACATAGTCGTATGCGCCCGCTGGATCCCTCGGTCTCCTCTGCACCTTGTTTAGCTCAACTTTGCAGCCTCGCATTTATCAAAGTTCCAAACTTGGAGGATGATTTCGGCCAGGAGGCTGCAGAGTATCTGAGTGATTGTACCATGAATAGTTCAAAAGAGTTCAGAGCAATGATTGAGGATAAAGATACCTCAGGAGGAAAAGTCAAAGGTCAAGGAACTGGAACAGTTTTCGCAGTTACTCTAGTTGATGTGGAAGCTGAAACCAGCGTCAATGCTGCACTGCTGCAGGTTTGAACCCTTTCAAATTGTTATTTATGTTTTTAACCTTTTATTCTAGATATTTTTTGCATGTTTTCTTTACTTGGTAAGAGTGTTGTTGTCTACATACCCTTAGATTGTTATGAGAACCTGAAGCACATCAGTAAAATATCGAAAATATTTTTCTTACTGCAAGTAAAATTGCGAACAAATTGCATGCTTAAATGGTCTGCATTGAGAATAACATTTTATATTTCTTCTACTAGAGAAAGAAAAGATACCTTACTTATTAAGCTTTTAAATAATATTAATTGGTAAACATCTTGTTTCCAGTTCAAACTTTTACTCGAATTTGGCCTGTCTGGCACTACCATGTGCAGTTTTTTTCCTCTCAATTTGGCTGTTCAGTTCTGAAAATGTGCCAATCCTTTATGTAAGAGGGTGTACAAGTCAGCCTTTTGATATGTTCAGTAAATTTAAGTGACAAAAAAAAACAAAAAAAACAATATCTCCAAAAGCTTTAACCCAAGTTTTTGGGATCGACCACATGAAAATAGCTTCCAATTATTATATTAAGGGCTATGCCATCTGTTAAGCTAACAATCATCATATCTTTCTTAATTACTTCCTATTAAAGGATAACCTAATCTGTTACTATTATCATGTCTTTCTTAATTACTTGCAACCAAGTTTTTTTATGTTTACCTCTAGTCCTCATTGCCTGTCAATTATTATCGTTTTTTTTAATTTTAATAAAAAGTTGTTTCCCATTTCTCAAGCATATGTAAAATAAACCAAGCAGCTTGATCCCGCCAGTACATAGCATATAAGCCCTCATTGGCTAATTTATGAGCAACACAGTTACTTTCTTTTATAGCATGCTGGAACACACAAGCTTGCAAGCTACTACTTTCCATCTTGATAGCATCCACAATATGCCCATACATAGTAAAGCCAGGGCCATTACCATTAATTTCTTGGGTTATCTCTAGAGCATCATATTCGACAAGAAGATTAGGACAACCAAGACTTCAAGCCATTTGAATCCCTTTCAATATTGCTAGCGCCTCCACTCCCTGGACCATCCATCCTTCTTCATCTCTAACCGCAAATGCAGCAACAAATGCACCTGTCTCATTTCTGATGATGGCTCCTATAGCTGCTGACTGCTGTTTTTCCAGATCACTCCAAGCCCCACGTAATTAATCTTCCAGTATCTTGGAGGAGGGCGTAGCCATCTCGAATTTGATGTTATTACAGTCTTAAGCTGGGTCAAATTGGCCTTAGTACTCATGCACTTCTTGGAATTGTAAATAACCCACTCCGCATCTCTTGAACTCTCACCCAATCTACACTTGTTGTGATTTTGTCAAATATGCCACAGCAATGCCAGTATACCACAAACATCTCAACTCCATCGACCTTCAGAAGACAGAGACATTGAGCCAACCAATCTGCCATGTTAATGTGAGTAAGGTCCACAGTTGAGATTGACCTCGGAACACAGTCTCCCAAATCCATCCGACAAAGCGAGTTTGAATAAAAATGTCTCATCACCTCATGAACTTCTTCTTTACATATGAAGCAACATAGCTCAACCACTAAACCCTTCTTCGACAAAGCATATTTGTGGTAACGTACCATGAATAAAGAGCCATATAAACATTCAAATTCGGACAGGAATTTTGGGGTCCCATGTCCGATCCCAAGCTCTCGAATCCACCCCTCTCAGTGATAGTCTTCTCCCTAAAAATTGGCCATCATCATTGATGCTACATTTGAGATGGTAGGCCAATCGAACAGAAAAGAATTCTTTTTTACAACCAAACCATATCATCTTATCACACAGTTTGTGTGACATCAATGGTATTTGGAGAATCTTGAGTGCTTCCTCTTTGTCCAAGATATCCATGATCATGTCGGAGTCCCATCTCTCCATTTCTTCCTCCATAAGAGCCTCGACTCTCACTTTGTTGTAACTTGGTGGCATAGGAGTTTTAATCGCTTGACTACTTACCCAACAATCACCCACATCTTAGCACTTTCCCATCACCAATCCTCCATTCTAGACCCTCTCATAGTAGATTTCTTGACGACCAAATGCTCTTCCATACTGCAGAAGCGTTCGGAAGACATTTTGCATTCAGAAAATCTGCATTATGAAAATATTTGATTTTAATACCTTTTCCTCAAGAGAGTTTGGATGTCGAATAGGTATCTAGCATTGTTTAACTAGCATCGCTACATTAAAAGATGCGAGATCATGAAATACCATCCCCCCTTTTTGCTCCGGTAAATCTTAAGTTTCCAACTAATCCAGTGATATTTCCTCTTGCCATATCTCTGTCCCTGCAAGAAATTTCCAGCCATTGAATTAAAGAGTTGAATTGGTAACTGAAAACAACTCATTATGTATGTCAGAATTGCTTGTGCAACCAATTTTATGAGAATCTCCCAACCTGCTTGAAATAATAATTTTTCTTTCCAGCCTTTGAGTTTTCCCCAAATACAATATTTTATACGTTCAAACATGATCCTCTTGCTTCTTCCCATAAATAGAGGCACGCCAAGATATATATCATTATGCATCACCGCATGTATACCAATGCAACTCCGTATAGATGTTTTTAGCACATAAGAAACGTTGTTGCTAAAGAAAATAGTGTATTTCCTCATGTTCACCTTCTGACCCAAGGCACTCTTGTAGACCCTTAAACTTTTCTTCAATCTTTGACATTCCTCCAACGTTGCTCTTTAAGAAAAATAAATTATCATCAGCAAAGAGTGGGAACACTTGCGCTTCGTCGACTTACTGCTACGCTATAACTGAGACCATCCTTCTCAGCCTTGTTAACAAGGGCTGTGAGACCTTCAGCACATAATAGGAATAAATATGGTGATATCAGATCTCCTTGTCGTATATCCCTTGAAGGAACAATATTACCCTGCGGCATTTGTCTAAATGGCTTTAAATACCTTTTTTCCAGCTAAATTGCACTTAAATACCCTTTTTTGGGGGGGCGTAAATGACACTTAAATACTCTATGGTGGATATACACAACATAATCCATTCTACCATTTTGCGTCAAAGCCCATTCATAACATTATCGCCTTTAGAATTCGCCATTCGCGACATATCCTTTGCTCATATCAATTTTTACTGCCATTGAGGCCACAGTCCTATTTCGTTTGTTTTCTAAATAATGGAAGGATTCATATCTAACAACCACACTACCGTAATTAGACAAACCTGGTACAAATGCACTGTTTTGGGTTGAAATAATTTCGGGGAGGATATACTTCAACCTGTTAGCCATAACTTTTGTAATAATCTTGTAAATTACACTATAAAGGCTAATATGCCTATATCTGAAACAAGCTGAGGGTTGTGACATTTTGGAATCAAGACAAGGTGTATTAATTATGTTGGGCTCAAGAGAGAGGAGAAGAAATGTCTTACCGCTTGGCACACATCACTACCAATCACCAACCAATACTTCTGATAAAATAAAGGTGACTTACCCTCTGGACCAGGAGCCTTGTTCGTGTGCATCTCAAAATCTGCTCTATGAATTCTTTCGTCATCCACCACCTTGCATAATTGTCATTCACACTCAAGGATATGCGTCTTGAGATAGGCTCCAGATATTCTTCAACATTCCATTTGCCCATGGCTGTGAATACTTCATTGTAATTATTTAGGATCTCATTATTTATACCTCATCACTCTTCAATAATCCATCTCTGCCTAAACTCTTCTAAATAGTATCTTCTTTCTTCTCATTGATGCCATTGGTGCCTTATGATGAAAAAATCTGGAATTGCAGTCTCCCTCCCTCCTTCAGCGATAAGACTCGTGACCGTTGTTTCCACAATAGCTCCTCTATCTCTAACGATTCATAAATGTCCCTCTTGATAGATTTCTCATATTCGAGGCTAAGGTTATGACTCCTCCCATCCTCTGTACGTTGCAAAGCATGTTTTTTCTCTCGATTTTCCTTACTAAATTATCAAAATGTTCACTGCTCCAGGTCTTCAAAGCTTCTGCACAATCCTTCACCTATGAGAAAAACCTGTTGTTGCTGCTTCAGCCGTGCTCGACATCTAGGCCTTTGAATCTTCTTTGGCCAAACTGTTGTCCCTATGCCACATAGCTTCATAGCCAAATAGGTGTGGTTTCCTCTGTCTGCCTTGATTTTTCAAGTCTAATCGAATAGGATGGTTGTCTGATACCGAAGCACACAAGTGGGACACTTTCGCTTCACTAAACTGTTGACACCATTTTCCATTGGCCATAATTCTATCAAGTCGTTCCCTGATGGTGTAAGGATAACATTTTCCATGGTTCCATGTGTATTTGCTACCTGAAAAATCGAGATCCACAAGAGCACACAGATCCACAATCATCCACAGTGTTACAAAAATCATGTATCTGCCAAGTTGCATGGAAACGGGCACGGGTACTGGTACGGGTGCGGGTACGGGACACGACAAAACTGTAAAATGTAGGGTATGAGGACACGACTACATATATATTGAATTAATACTGTACATAAGATAAAATTTCCCCCTTCATGTGTCATTAGAATTAAAATTCCGATCACATTTTTGAGTTTTTTTTATCATATTGATTATTGTGAATTGTAAACTACTCATTTTTTTACTAGACATCTAAACGACCCATTAACTATATAGTTTTAAACTTGGGTATGGACTGAAACGAATCCGACCCGTATCTCATTAGTTTCAAAAGACGGATGTGAAGTGTAAGCTCTACGTCCAGGAAGTCTTTGACACGTACCCGACACTTTTCCGTATCCAAACTTCATGGACACTTCTTGAATATATGCATGCATTTATAACAACATGTACTCAATTATACGATATATGTGTTGCAAACCCCCACCAGATTTCTCATGTTGAAACAATATTTTGCTAGCCTCCTCCACAAACCCATTGCGGCTCTCTGTCCTCTTAGGTTTCATAAGATTTCCCATGAAATGTTGCCATTGTCGAGCTTCATGGTGACCATAAAATCTCGTGATTCCCCAACTATTTTCAGTGTCAAGTTTATTAACAATTGCATCGATATGGTCCTTTGAAAAAGATTAAATTTCAACATTGACCTCCTCCATTCAACGCATTGCCAAACCACCTCGACGCACTTCGCTCACAACATAAAAAATGACACGGTAACTTCATTCCGATCGTAACTCCTCCCACTCGTATCTGTAATTTTGTTTCTGACAAGAACAAAATAATTGGCCTCATTAAGGTCGAGAAGTGCACGAACTGATTTAGGGTCTTCTAGTCCCTGGTAGTTTCAAAATAATAAACTCATGGCGATCGGC